ATTTCTCTTGTTGTACACAGGACTTCTTTTAGGTGCCATGGCCAAGCTGATATTGTAAGCATTGCCCAGTGTACAGTTGTCTTTTAGTAACAGTATTTGCTTACTTTTTTGTTAGGAATCTATGTATTCTTTGAGACTAGATGTGGTCAGAAAAGGCTGATCCAGGTAGAAGCTTCAGCCTTTCAAAAGTTGCATACCCTACTAGAAAATTAAATGCTTTTATGTTGAATTTGTACTAGTGTGTTTTTTAAATTTTGCTCCTGCTGAGTTCAGAGGCAGACCTGGCACTCAAAAATGGAAGCTTCCAAGGTTATTATGAACAAAATTGGAGTAAAAGACTTTGTAGAAAATATTAAAGATGAAGTCTAGTGGTTGAACTAACATTTAACTTGTTTGAAGTGTTACAGTGATACAAGGATCCCACAATCACTTGTAGAAGACTCCGTGTTCAGAGCAATTTTGTGCATGCTTTACAATTACAAGATTATGAGAGTTCATACTTGCTTATCAGTATGAACTGATGTATGAGCGTGCATGTTCTGAAGTGTTAATGTCACTACCCAGGTGCTGCTTTTGCTGACTGGCAAGAAACATAACATTTCACAGATCTTTTTGTTTAAAGCTATTTTGGGTGAGCTTGCTTAATACGTGGCAGCAGAAGCAATCAGGTTTCCCAGGCAGGTTACAGTTCAGAAGAGAGAGGGTTGTATAACACAGGAGAGACAGGGAATTCTCTCTAAGGGTTATTTGCATATTCTGTTCTCAGCCACTTTATACCATAGCAGTTCTTTTTAAAACATAAATAAATGAAACATTTTGAAGATATTTCTCCAAAACATATGTTAGCTAAAAGACTGTATTGGTTTTCTGAAAGGTAGCTTTTGTTTGTATGTCATGGCTGTACAAGCTGAACATTGGTATATTGCTGGAGTCTGGAAAAACGTAGTTACTTGGTGAAATTCCTTCAGAGAATGTGCCAAGACAACATGCACTTGGGGTGAGATGCCTTGTGGATTCAGTAAGAGCTCTCTCTGCTTCTAGTGTGACCTGGAGTTATTATATTTTTTAAATGTATATATGTAAGTACCCCTTGCAATTATACAGGCAGGGGCTAGTGGGGCCAAGAAGCAGCTCTGGGTCATGGCCAGGGCAGGAAAATAAGGGGCAGTGTGAGCAAGACTTGGCCCAGAGAGCCAGGGGAAGGCAGGGACTGTCCTCTCTGCTCAGTTCTTGTCAGGCACTATCCAGGTACTGACACCATTCTGGGGCCCTGATACACGAATGACACTGAAAAACTGGTGGGAAGTGAGGGGAGGTCACTGAGGTGGTGGAGCTGGAGCCCTTGCCCTTGGGGAGAGGCTGTGGGACTGAGTCAGGTTTACCTGGGAGGAGGGATGGCTTCAGGGTCACCCAGCAACAGCCCAGGGAACTATGGGAGATGCTGCCAGGCTCTTTGCAGTATTTTGTGGCAGGAAGGTGGGCTGGAGACAGCTGGCACGTGCTGAAACACGGGGAATTTAAACTGACTGTAAGGAAAAAACGTTTTCCCCACAAGGGCAGCACAGCAGTGGAGCCAGGGCCCAGACTTGGCTATCAAGCCCCAACTGAATAAAGCCCTGAGCAGCCTGACCTGAGCTCACAGCTGGCTGTGCTTTGGGCAGGGCTTGAAATGGAGACCTCCTGTGGTCCTTTCCTAACTGAGTTACCTGTTAGCCTATACCTGACAAAAAACTGTGCCTGTGTGTGTGTGTAGATGTGGTCTTGGTTCAGCATGGCACTCAGCTTTGATACAGTAACAATAGTATAAAGACCTATTGAGAGTGAGATCCTTTATTCCAAAAAGTCAGGATTAGACTGTGAAAATACAGTGTGCATAGTGCTCTTATAAAATAAACTTTAAAGGCTCCTTTGGAATAATATTTTTTTTAAAAAGCTTCATTTCTGCCTGCATGCCAAACAAAGCAATCAGTTATATATCTGGACATGAGAAACAAATAATAAACCAAATTGGAATCTGAATAATCACAATTTCACCTTTTCATATAGCATGTCTTCTTCAGAATAGCACTGGGCATGGATGTTGTGGTCTTGCTCCAAGATGACAGTATGTCCTTTGGTGGTGCTTTAAGTACTTCTTTGGGTTTTTTGGTTGTTGTTTGTGCTTTTTTTGTTTGATTGGTTGTTGTTGTTGTTTGGGTGTTATTGTTTGATTGTTTGTTTTTAATACCAACAAGCAGAGAAGAATCCTTACATTTCCAGCTTTTTCTTTATTGTTTGAAAAGTATGTGGAGATGTTCACGTTTTCTTCCTTACAGGCAGAAAGGTAGTTTAACCATCAGCAAAGAGCTAGCTGCAGTAGTCATCAACCTCCGTTTTCTCTGTTTTGGAGACAGATTCATCCATTAAGTCTGGAGTGCAAAGCTAAGAGTGCTTACAGAGCACTTATCCATATATATTTGATTACTGGAGCACAGCTGCTGTTCAGGGTAATTAATGTGAGAGTATAATATCTTTCAGATGGGTGCTGTGTCTTTAATTTCAGGATGAGATGACCTCTCTTGCTTATATTCTCTTCTCTGTGTCACATTTTATGTAGGTTAATTATTTTGGTTTGCTTGCTGGAAATAAAGTGCTTCTAGAAGCATTGGTGAGAAAAATCAGGCAGACACTGTATCTGCTTGAGGGAAACACTACTAAGAATAAAAAAATTGTGGTTTTTAGTAGTCATCCAGCTACGATGTACGAAAAAGGATTTAGTGCTTCTAGCTCCCAACTGTAATAGGTGGTTCTTTAAACTACTGTCCTAAAGATAGATTGTTAAACAGTCAAAAAAATGTAATTTATTTAGAAGGTTACATTTCATTGAAGGTTATTTGGGCTTGGTGGCCTAAGGTGGCCTTAGGTGGCATTTATTCAAATCTATTATTTTAGAAGTAAACTTACACTCTTTTCCAATAATTAAAATGTCTCTTTCAAAAAAATTCAAAATAATTTTGAAAATAATGTTTTATTGTTTGCAAAATTAAAAAATGAAATTAAATTGAAATTATTGGGAGAAAGACTTTTCCAGTCAAAAGCTTTAAGTAAAGCTCCTCATCACGTCAAAAGACATGACCTTGACAATTACAGGATATCACTATTTGAAATTAACCTGAGATCATTCTTCACATGAGGACAATTTCACAAGTGAACTTCGGAAACTTTGGATCTGAAGAAGGAAAATATTGGGGCTCTCCGGTGCTTTTTAGCAATACTTTGTATGTATGTATCTCTGTAATTTTTTTTTCACACCTGAACATGTCAGTAGTATGTGTTATGTAACAAGTCTGTATTAAGATTTCAAAAAAAGTATCACATATTTTCAGATATATTCAGAACTTTTGTGGCTGTAAGTATTGTGGCATTTGATATGTTATTTGACTTAAGGTACAGGTAGTCTTCATGCAGTTGAATTTTGCCTTCTGCTCTAACTTGACATAATTCAGTTAGAGATGTGGCAGGATACAGGTGACAGAGAGGTCAGAAAATTGGTCATCGTCCTGTGTTTATATGTAACTTCATTTCTCTCAGCTGGTACTGCCCTTTTTCTGTGGGTGACCAATGATGCTTTGGAATGAGTCAGGGGCTACTTCGAATGCAACAGGTTTAGGGCAGAATTTTTCAGCAGTTCTCTATTTTAGCCTAATTCTGTCTACATGCAAAGCAATGGAAATTTTATAACTGTAGTGGAGCAAGAGATCCTACTTGGGATGGACTTTTCAAAGGGCTGTTATGCTTCACTCTTCACCCTTCTTTTTTTGGGCTTAAAATGGAAACCTGTCCAATATTGTTCTTATTTACTTAAATAATGTGTTGTATGCTGTGGGGAGAAAACCATTTTGCTTGTTAATTGTGGCAGACACCTGCATACACACCTGCATTCTGTTTCATTATTTCCTAAAATAATATAAAATGCACTTCCTATGACACTGCATTTTAAAAACTTAGGACAAGATTCAAATAATATGAATCTGCTATGTAAGAATAAAACCACCTGATCTAGATAGGCCTGTTTGCTCTATGAAACTTACAGAAGCTAGTAAGTTTTCCTGTTTCTGTGGTATGCATATTAATTGTTGGCAGGCCTCTCCAGTAATTGTTTTATCTTTTGAGATTTTTACTCAAAGTCAGCAAGGCTAAGATCCCTAACTAGGCTCAATGGGTTCATGGTTATGAAAGTTAGTGACTCTGTGTTTTAGGAAAGACGTTTGGTGCAGAAGCCATCTTAAGTTAGTATAGATACATTCCATGAAGGTATGCTGTACGTCCCTGTCATTTGCTTCTCTGCAGAGAAGGAACAGGTACTTCAGATAGCCTGAGAGTGCATTTTTATTTCTAATGATTTTTTAAATGTTCATGGGGTGACTAGCTCAGCTGAAGATGCCACACTGCACAAGTGTAGTATGCACAGCTGTCATGTATCTGCGCCATTGCAGACTCCTGTCTTTAGTCCCAGAGTCTGGGACTAAATCTGTCGTTTTACAGTAGAGCATCCTTTCTTTGCACTGAGTTAGGGAGATGTAGGGAGAGTGGTGGAGCACAGGTGGAATATTTATGTCATATCTTTACTATGGTTGCGACCCTTGCAAAAGTTAGCTTTTCTAGCATGTACTTACCAATGTCATTGAAATGCCACAGCAGTCCATAGAAGCATGTCCAAGGAGTTGCTTGGAAAAGATTATTCCACAAAGCATTTGTCCATAGAAGTGAGGAGTGCAGTTCCCCAGGATGTGGTTATTGGTTGCTGCAGCATGGGAGATTTGCTTGGGAGGTCATACGGCTGCACTGGCTGCAGTTTGACTTCACAACTGATGAAGTCAAACGCTTGTCTGCTGAGGAATGAGGAGTGCCTTTAGTTGCTTCTGTTTATTTTCTCCATTCAGAAGTTTCTTTTTTATTTCTTTCCAGCTGTGACAGACAAAATGTCAATAGAATAAGTGACCTACCCACCAGAACTTGCCATGAACCATTTGGGTGGACCATCTGAAGGGGAGGTGAGTGAAGAGCCAGCAAGTGGGACAGTGAACGAGTCGGTGGAGGCTGACCTGGAGCGCCCAGAGGTGGAGGAGGAGCAGCGGTATGCAACTCGCTACCCCAGGCATACCAACTGCAGCCAAGGGGGCCTGGCAGGGCAGGAGGAGGAAGGGATGTTAGCTCGGTCAGCCAGCACTGAGAGTGGTTTCCACAATCACACGGACACTGCGGAAGGGGATGTGATTGCCACGGTGGAAGACACTTACGACACGGAGAGAGTCCAGGAAAATGAGGATGAGAGTGCCTACGCAGTGCAGTACAGGCCTGAGTCTGAGGAGTACACGGAGAACGCTGAGGCTGAGCACAGCGAGGCTGTTCATCATCGAACCCTGCCCAATCACTTGCATTTCCACTCCATCGAACACGAGGAAGCCATGAACGCGGCCTACTCGGGCTACGTCTACACGCATCGGCTGCTACATCCC